GTTTTTGATAAAAACTATACATACTTTAGAGCAACCGAAACGTCGCACTATGGAAAAATCGCGTATGTTTCGTCTCAAACCTCCGTATCTCAGTTATTTCAAAACTGAATGATCTGTAATTTTGCACACATATACGTGAAAGTATAAGTCTTAATATAAAAAATAATAATTTTGAAAATTATGTTTATTAATTTATTTAAAAAATAAAAATATATAAAATTATGTTTAAATATGTTTTGGCACCGTATCAGAAAAGGCGCAAGTAGGCGCAACTTGTATTTCCTTATGTAAACTAATATATAAAGATTGTAAAGCAACAAATATCTCGACAGCGGTAAAGGGTTAGGTGTCGTTAAAAAAAAGAACCCGAAAATGATACCAGCTTAAACTATATTGGTTAGTTGTAATTTATTTTTTTATTATACGTAATATTATTTAAGAAACGTTATAAGGAGATTATAAGCATTTCAAAATTATGTAATACTTATAAATTTATATCAAAAACTTTCGAGTAATGTGGCGTTGAACTGTAGGAATGTATTGTGCCAAAATCACATCATTGAACATGAGTTAGCTTTGATACCTTTTTATATAAATACATTACATACTGTGTGCAAAAAAATATTTAAAAATTATATAAAAGAAAGCTTATTTATAAGACTAAAATAATTAATTAGTTTTACTCCATAACAACGACTTTCATGTGAAAGGGTTTTTAGACGGCCTTGTATGGGGCTTTTCCATAGTGCGTCGGGACTCGGGAGTATGTAGTTTTTATCAAAATTAAAGTCACTTAGTATATCCGCAAAATATTAGTTTTATTTAAATGTCATTAGTTGCCTCATAAATTTCAGTCCAGAGTATGACTAAAAAAGTTTTTTTTTTAATATTTCACCGGTTTGACTATTAAACCACTTCCATGCCAATTGAAATTATGAAACCCATAGAACATGCAAACGTTTACTTACCATCTTCAGCATCAGAATCCTCCAATATTATAAAAGCGAAAGTTTGTATGTGTGGAGGTATGGATAATAGTTACTTTTTATTCAAATCTAATGAACGACAAAAAAAAAACAGTACATAACTTCAAATGTCACTATCACCGGTAATGAACTATTTGTCTCGAGTATCGATTGATAATTGACATAGAGGATGGATCGATAAATTAGGTGCTTGTCAAACGTCAAATATTATGTTTGCGTCCAGAAATTTAAAATTGTTCTACTGAAATATAAACAATCTGATACTAAGTTAATATTATTGTGCTACCAAATGTAAGTAGTAAAAAAATACGTTTATTTTTAACCTAATGAAGATGATTACGTAGTTAGAAAGATATAAAAAATTCTTATTAGTTATTCATTTTAAACTATTCTTTTAAATTGATTTCTAATCACTTCAAAGTGAAAACGAAAGTATTTTCATATTAATTGACCTTTTAAACATTCCAATCGTTTCAGCCGTTGTCAAGGTTTGGTGACACTAACGAACAGCAATAAAATTATAATACATAAGGTCGTTTATGAAATGTTCTGTTTTCTGCTGAAGTTCTTTCAGAGATGTTACATGATCATTAAACTTTCAGGGCGGATGACGAAGATTGCGTTATTTATTTTTTTGTGTTGAACTTTATATTCATGGTTCAAATATTATACCGCAAAGAAAAAAATTGTATTGTTTGATTTTAAAAGGAAAATTTTAAAGAAACTAAAACCAAATTTATAGAACACGTCAGTGATTATTATTCCATCGTCTCCCTCTTACTAGTTGGTGGAGGGAGCTCAGACAACCTCTATATGAGGTTGTAATATCATTACTATGTAGGAATTATAAAAAAAAAATTTGGTAAAAATATGGGAACCGTGTTTAATAACTAAAAATAAATATTAAATAGTGCATTAGAATGATATCTTTTGATAGATGTATTCTTATGTAAAGTCTCAAAACAATTTAGAACTATTGAAGTTATTCCTATATATTATCTGTATAATTAACCCTAACAATATATTTTGTAAGGAAAAGGTGCTTATTTATCAAGCTAACGACGCGGCGTATGAAATATTTGATGACGAGAACCTTTATTTTATTTATTACGTGGTACATTTTTGTTCATCAAATGATATGATATTATTAATAATAATTTATATTTTTAAATATTATAAACTTACAGATACTCGTAATATAAATAATCACAGTTTAAATATGTGTTTGTATTTAAAATATTTCCTTCGTGAAATGTGTTATTGGAAGTTCTGATATCACTTAAGTAGTAGGTATACGAGTATGAGGAAATTAATTTTAATTGGTTTTCCAGTGTAGGTAGTGTTGTTGAGATATGAAATAGCTTACATCTTTTTGTCACTCGTGAAATATTTAAAGTAATGTGACATCGTTTACACAACGATGTCTCTAAAGTGACTTTAATGACGGAACTCTCCCATTTAATTCATAAAAACAGTTTTTATTTGATAATGTTTTAATTCTGTGTGACTATTATTTGCTAGGTCGTCATATCAAAGCTGAAAATTTCAAACAAGTTCGATTAAAGCTGTCTGTAATTTATCATCAAAGTGATTTAAATAGTTCATAGTTTTATTATGCCAGCTTTACAATACCTTTTTCTTTAACTTTGAAATTGATTGCAGTTGAGTAATTTACCAGATTTTTTACTGCTCTTAAATTTTATTCCCTTTTCAGGTGTTTCCCAGATGTAACGAAACGAAACCAAATAACGAACCTTGGAAGGCAAGAAATGTTTAGAATATATTAGACATTGTCGAAAGGTATTTTTCTTTCAGAACCAACAAACAACAATACTTAAGATTAAATGATTTTTATTTACTGATCAAACTGTCATCAAAAATTATTTTGAACAAAGACAAAAGTGAGAATACTTAATACAAAGATTAATATACAAATATATCGTGAGGTCAGAAGTCACACTAAAAACACATAGGTTCAAGTGATATCTAACGTAATCTATTTCATAAAAATAGGTTTTGCAGTTCTATTGGACAAAAATACAGCCATTTAGCTAAGACAAAGTTATCATCACATTTTTGTTAATATACATAGAACGGATATATCATACATATTTGGTATCTTTAAGAGTTAATCTTTAATTTATTTATTTGAATTGTGATTACAGCAGTCTTTTAAATTTGTTTTATATTCATTATGAAAAACACTTAAGCCATGCTATAACTTATATTCGAATGATTCAAAAAAACGAATCAAACGAACGAACGTATTGAAAGAAACTGTAAAACTTTAACTGAAAAATTTAAGTTATAAAAAATTACTATAAACACTTATTAAATACAAAAAATATAACTTTTAATCCCATATAGTATTGCTAACATGTTTTTCATAGTATAATATTGTTCCAGGGTGTAGTAACCTCTGAGCCCTCTGAGCCTGTGCCGCTGCTGCTGAGCGTGCGGCAGCTGGGGATGACGACCACGAGATGACGTCACGGAGCTGGGGAACGATATTCATGATATATCTTATATATAACATTCTCGTGTCACAATGTTCGTTCCCGTACTCCTCTGAAACGGCTTGACCGATTCTCGTAAAATTTTGTAAGTAGGTCTGAGAATCGGCCAACATCTATTTTTCCTTCCCCTAAGTGATAGGGGCTGTTCATCCCTAATTTTTGTTTTGATTTGGACGAAAGGTTTTGTTTTTATTTTTTTATCAAGTGGCATAAGAAAATACATAAAATCCTAAATATTATTTTTTTTATCACCAACCCCTACTTTTGATATGACAAAACAACGTTTGCGGGGCAGATAGTATATATTAAATAATAAATAATCAAAACTAAGATAACCATTAAATTAGTGCGTAATATAGAAAAATATCTCTTAATTAAACGTTATTTCATTTAATATTTGTTACAAGTGCGATGTCGAACTGTATATTCATAAATGTTTTTGTTATAAGTGTAATTCTGATATAAGTGATAATAATGTCTTAATGGAAATAAAATATCATAAAGGATACATTATTTATAGGCGTAAAATCGTTAATAATTAATTAGTATATAAAGAAAATATATATAAATTAGATAGATTAATCAAATGTAGCAATATATTAAAACACTATCAGATCATAAAGGTTTTGTATAATAGTGAAATCCCACAATAATGCCTCGGATAGGAAGGTCTGTAATTCCAGGTGTTGGTGCAGCAGCTTCCTCCTAAGGTCTGCAGCACCTCGCAGTGACCGCCACGCCTCACTGAGCGCCTGCTGTCTCAGCGCTATCTGCTGGGAGTTATCGCCGGGGCATAACCGCTGGAGGCGAGATCCTTCCCCTGGAGCACCTGGAAATAGATTTAATATCACTACAACTATCTCTTCTACCTGGCAACTTCCCAGCTTTAGCCAGGGTCTACCTTACATGTTGTGAATAGTTTTGGCTAATTGTTTTTACGACCTGCCGCCTGCCTGACATCAACCCTCTTTGGGAATTCATTAATCAGTGATGTCTAAATATTCTTAGAAAGTACATATGACTCGGAAAAATTACATTGGTACTTGCCCGGGCCAGGGTGTATATTACTACAACTATAAAATACTGCAAAAATCAGTTAAAATCTTATTTAGGCAGAATTAGGCTACATTAAATAAGGAGCTATGATATTATGAAATAGATTTTGACAAGTATTCATTTAAATGAAACTAATATTTATCATATTTTCTGCCCGTGATCATGATACTGTAAAGTAAACGAAATATGTATTTTTTTATCAAAACGTTCATCCAAGAAATATTAGTTTCATTTAAATGAATACTCGCGAAAATCTTAGATTTCATTATAAGTCAATGTTAATAGTTACTCTGTGTCTATGAGTTTGCATTTCTTATCACTGTTTTGTACACAATTATTTTTAATTTATTGTAAGAATATGTTAAACTACCTAGTGATACATTTATTATGATTGTCGAGGTTTTATTTTAAAATACATAATATGTTTAAAGTCATAATTTTCTCAAGTCTGCGCGTCTATAGCGACCATATCGTTCTCGGCTGCGTCGTGGTCCCTCAAGAGGGCAGTGGCGGCGCGCAGGTCGCGGGGCGTGGGGGGCGGGGCGAGGTGTGCCCGGCGGTCCCGGGCCCGCGCCAGCAGGTCCCCGGCGTCGCGGTGGAAGCGGTGGATCTCGGCAGCAGCAGCCAGGCGCTGGCTGCAGGACTGGATCTGTTCTACCAGACGCTGCCAGGACTCACTGGAAAGTATGAATTGTATGTATTTGAGTTGTGGATTATGTAAATTAGATCTTATATGTATGGAATTAAGTCTCACTCTGCCTTGTTTTAAATGACATGTGGAATTTTTGAATTAGATCTTATGTGTATGTTATTAAGTCTCATTTTTCTTTGTCTAAATTAAATTCCATATCTAGTTATTAAGTCTTATTTTAACTTGTACAAATTTATTTGCATTTGTGGAATGTCTTATTTGGATTCTATACCTGTATACATGTCATTAAGTCTCAATATTCTTTGGTATAAATTTGATTCAAACATGTTGAGTATCTATATTAGATCCTATATCTATGTCATTAAGGGTCATTTTCCAAGTTCCCCTCACCCGAGCACTTCCTGTCTCTTTTCAATGCCAGCGATGTAGGGGCTGTCTGAGGCGACCAGCTTCTTGGCCAGCTCCTCACACTAGTTGAACCTCTCCGCCCCACTCTCTACACGGTGACAGAGCTCTTCAAACTTGGACCTAAGGAATTGTGGTTGGGGAAATATGATGTCTTAGATTATAGATATAATTAAATGGTTTTGGAGGATATTTTAATGAAGCTGTAAAACTTTAGGTATATTTAATATTATGACATGCTAATCTTTGCACATCCTTGTGAGATACAAGAAATAAAAAAAACACTAAATTACGTACTAAAAGCTCAAATTGACTTAAATTTCAACGAAATTTAGCATTCATTCGTTAGTTTCTAAAAATAGGATTGCTGAACGGATTTCCGTGAAGTTTCAAAGCTTAGTATCTGAAGATATAACTGAATAATGTCTCCATCACCAAGTGTGATGGCTGGAGCACCCTCTCATCATCATCATCATCTACATATCGTTACTCACCAGTAAGTGTTCATAGTCCTGTCCGTAGTCTTCACTGGAGGCGGCTGCTTGCTGCTCCGCAACCCATTCCTCCAACTCAGCGCTCTCAGCCAGATATTCATGTCTAAGGATAGACACACATATTTTTAGAGAATATCCTATTTATATATTCCTATAACACACATATACTAGTCTTTGTCAGCAACTTCTTCATAATCAACTTCAGGAATAGAAAGGCGTTACTGTGTAACGCTTAAGAAGCAGTAAATAACAAGTCTTGGTTAAGTTGTTATTTATTTAAATTTCTACCTCGCTTAATGGAAAGTATGCTACGTCAGTCTCCTGTTTCTAAAGTACCTCGAAATAAATTTACAAATTCTTATAGCCCTTCTTGACTATAAGTAGTGCGACGAATATGATATGCGTATATATATATATATATAGTATCTCTCACCTGCACACACTCTCCATGAGCGCGGCCTGCCTGCTCGCAGCCAGTCTCTGCAGCCTAGCCAGACTGCCAGCCAGCTGGTCATGTCTGGTGACCAGCGCGCCACCCTCAGGATGACCACCGGAAGCCATGGATTGCGCCACGTGACCCATTTCCGCTATGATCGCCGCGTATGTGTCCAACTCGAGTTCTACGGCCTGTTGGTAGGTTAAAGAGGAATTGTAAGATAATGCTGAATATACTCTGTATTATTATACATATTTCTGTTAATTGAAAGTGTTAGAAATTTAAATAATGACAACTTCTTCTGATTTAAGTCCATATATATATGTTAGATGTCATACTCCTGCCAAACGGCTTAACCGATTTTTATGAAACTTTATATGCATATTCAATAATTTTAACAATTGGCTACTATCTATATTTCATACCCCTAAGTATAAGGGCGGCCCACTTTTAACACCTTATTTATTTTTGGACAACCTTTTCAATATGTGGCATTATAAAATACATACAACCCTAAATTATCACTCTTCTATCACCAACCCCTATTTTTAATATATGTTTTATAAATATTTGATCCTACTCAATAACTTATAAATTTTCACTTCATAAGTCACTTGATGACTTACATATACAGGGTGACTGGTGAATTACTATCAATATTTAAGGAGAATACTCGGTACATGATTCTCATTCGAATTATAAAAAAAAAATAGGTACTTAATTTTTGACCAAACTTCCGTATAAATAAATAAAGTGTGGACACGTTCCAAGTGATATAAGTGTGGACGCGTGCGGCGGCGTGCTGATACAACACTACGCCGCCGCACGCGAGTGTGTGTGTGTGTGTGTATACCTAATCTGTAGGGTGTTCACACGATGCGTAATTAATTACATAACTTTTGGTTAACTTTACTTAGAAGTTTATTAATATTTATGTTATGTATATTAATTTTTATTTTGTCATATATGATCGTCAAATATCACGTCCTCAAGTATCGATAGTAATTGACCAGTCAACCTGTATATATAGTGATTTATCATACATTTCTTGTAGCTCAAAAATTGTGTGATATGACGAAAATCTAATTCTTAGCTATGTATATATGTGTATATTACCTTTTGCCGTGTGAGTAGTTGCGTCGCTCTATGCCTATCATTGCCGACGTCACCGGAAGCCAGTGCGGCGGCCTTGTCAGCCAGACAGGAGTTTACTTCCGCTGCATCATGCAGGAACTGCTGGGCCTTGACCGCCGCCTCCAGCCGGACCGCGCGCTCCTCCGCCGCTGATGATACAGAGGAGTACGCCTCTTCAAGCTCCTGGCACAGCTGCTTGATCTGGAATGTGATCGTTATAGTTTAGTGAGTGGAGTAGGGAAATAAATTATATGTATGTGCATAAACTAATCTTCTTCTTCCTGGCAATTTCCCAGCTTTTAGCCAGGGTCTGCCTAAGATGTGTGTATAGTTTTGCCTAATTGTTTTTACCACCGGACGCCTGCCTGACATCAACCCTCTTTTGGAATGCATTAATCAGTGATGTCTAAATACTCTTATAAAGTACATATGACTCGGAAAAATCACATTGGTATTTGCCAGGACCGAACCCGCGCCCTCATGCATGAGAGGCGGGACTTTTAACCACTAGGCCACAACTGACTGAGGAAATGAATTATATGTATATACATAAATTAATATAATACAAATTGGTGTTTCAGTTAATGTCGCGTTCACAATGTTTACTTCGCTGTAAGCAACAGTACTATGCACATGTGCTTGGAATCTACTCTCAATCTCTCTCCTACTTTCTACATTTGTGTATCTTTCTTTCCCTTCCTTGAACGTTTAACGCAACCTTGTTGGTAGTCGCATAAGAAGTTTTACTTCAAGAATTCACTCAAAAAATATTAAAAAAATTCAATTATTAGCCGAACTTTGTCCAAGAATAATTTAATTATGCATGCTGTATATAATATTTCAGATGAACCAAGGTATGGTGTGGAGATCCAGAATGAATTTAACTATCATACTATGACGTTGCTAAGATGGACATTTTTTACTATGCGTCAGTTCTGCACTATCGAACGGACGCGTGTTTCTCTCTTAGAAATAAATACCTACATACAATCACTACAAATACAATGGAACATATAATGAGAATGTGAGTTATACATATATATAGTCCACCTTCCCAGCCTGTGGATGCGTGTCCAGCTCCTTGCCCCGTTGGAGCACCCTCTCCACGACAGGCCTCCGCCCCTCCAGCTCCACCCTCAGCTTGGCGTGTTTCTTCTGCGCGTGGCAGATGAAGCGGCGGCCTGGCGCTCCGACACCCAAGCTAGCTCTCCTGAAACCTCGGCAGCGAACTTGTGTAATCTGTGGAGGATTTGGATGAATAAAATTAGTCCTCAAATTGATTATGTACTATTACTATCCTACTAATATTATAATTGCGAAAGTTTGTGAGTGTTTATGTATTTATTTATTTATTTAGGCACACAAACAGAATATAATCCGGATTACATATGAATTACAGTCTAAAATTATTTTTAGCTTGATTATATTCCTAAGTATGTGTCACGGCATAATCATTACAAAAACAATATTTTTGTCGGGTGCTACATTATTTAGGTACAATTTAAGACTAATGAATAAACAGGAAAATGTATGTTTGTTACTTCTTTGCGCTCAAACGGCTGAACCGATTTTGATAAAATTTTGTGTACAGGAAGCTGACGTCCAGAAATAACACATAGGCTACTTTACATCCCGGAAATCTCGGAAATCCGCGGGTAAAAACCGCGGGGCGCAGCTTATATGGTATAAATTATAAAACAGTTGCTTTTCTTTTCCTTATATCCGTATGCATTCTTAATAACTTAAATAGTTTTAACTGCGTAGTCGCAGTGGATTTTGGTGCAGTTTTTTTTGAAAGATAGATTATTTGAAGAGGAAGGTTTGTATGTATAATGATATCCATACATAAGTGGAGAATCCTTATCCAGTTAAATAACTTTAGTACATTTTTGATTTAAAATAGATCTATGGCCCTTTACAGTAAATATTTTCATCTTTATACCCGTCCCGGCTCAATTGTATATATGCATGGGCGTACCCAGGTAGGGGCAGGGGGGGGCAGCTGCCCCCCCCTGAATAATGTTGACGTCCCTACTAAGTACCTTATCATGTACTTTTATCGATAAAAATTAAGAAAATATTTTTTTGCCATTTGTTTGTATTATTAATACGATATTTTAACAGCTAAAAATTACGCGGCGCGTTCGTTACCCATACCCATAACAGCTCGCTAGCAGTGCAGCGCTGCGGAGCCCGCCCGCATCTACACGACACGAAGATTACCGAATCGTACCGAGCGACATCGAGTGCCGCGAAATCGGGAGAGAGTACGAGCGAGCGGCTTGCATTTGTTTGACAAGTCATTGTTTTCAAACTGCACGAGTTTTGATTGAATTAAAAACATAAATAAGGTTTTGTTACTGAGTTGTAGTATTGTGATATAATTAGGACCTAAGTAGGTACCTATATGTATTTCTATTTATATTCTGATTTACTATAACAAAACTTTGAATGAAAATGGATATTCGGAACTTTTTTGGTAAGTTTTTTCTATTACCTACTTATTTACTTAATAAGTCTGTTATTTTTTTTTATTAAAACAAGACAATCACAATTGTTTGAAGGATCTACTCTAATTTTTTTAATAACCTTTAGCAATCTATGAAATAAGATTTGAGGATTTCATGCTTCAAACGTATTTTGTTACTGATGTCATTTGTTACTAATGCATATGCATTGTAAAACTGGACGTCCAATTTGTCTAGTTTCGGCTTGCGGTTTTAACTTTTTTTATAGTCATGCCGAAGAAATAAACGTATTTTTTATAGCTACATTACCGTATACCGTATTTTATTTTTGCAGCAAAAAAAACGGAAAATTACAAGCACAGAGGATGATGATGCCAGTTGCAGTAAACAGTTGCAGCAGTCTAGTGAGGTGGATTCAGCGCCAATAACACAATCTTATTCTGCTAATAAAAAATTGTGTAACTCTTTAGTTAGCCCGCAAGATTCAGAACCGAAAACCATAAATTCTTGCAGTATTGTTAATGAGGTAGTATCTGAATCTCGTGCATCTACATCTACGTCTATTCTGGATGATGGAGGGAATTTTCATGAAAACTATATCGGTCGATGGGTTGGACGGTCTTTCGTACTGACAACGGAGAAGCGAATGGAAATGTTAAAGCGATGCTGGGCACCTTCAGAAACTTATGATTTTGCTGGCGATGCTACACATTTAAAACGCAAATTTAATCACTCTTGGTTAGAAATGTACAAACCGTGGCTTGTATACTCAAAGAAATTGAAAGGTGCATTTTGTTTGTTTTGTGTTTTATTCCCGCCGAAAGTCGCACGTGGTGTACAGGGATCTCTAATTGTTCGACCATTTACCAAGTATAAAGATGTACATATTTATTGTAAAGCGCATGTAGATACTCAATGGCATAGAGAGTCGAGTGCGTCTGCCAATTCTTTTAGCAACATTAAAACAAATGTACAAGTTGCATTGCAAATAGGCCGCGAAAAAATTATTGAAGACAATAGAAATGCATTGCTACCTATAATCAGTACAATAGTTTTTTGTGGAACACATGATTTGCCATTGAGAGGAAAAGAAAAGGATGACGGCGTTTTTCAAGATTTGCTTCAATTAAAAATAAAATCTGGTGATGAAATTTTGCGGCAACATTTAGAGAAGGGTCAAAAGAATGCTCAGTATACGTCCCCGAAGATACAAAATGAAATTTTAAACATATGCGGTATTCTAATAAGAGAAAAACTGGTCGATAACATTTGAGTCGCAAGTGCTTTCAGTATTTTGGCTGATGAATCAGCAGATATATCTGGCAAGGAACAACTAGCAATAGGTCTTCGATATTACGATCAAAAAGAAAAAAATGTTAAAGAAGAATTTATGGGCTTCGTAGAGTTGGAAAAAATGGATGCCCAAACGATAGCTGCTGAAATAAATAGATTTATTAATACGTTAAATATTGACGCTAATAAATGCGTGGGACAAGGCTATGACGGATGTGCTACTATGGCGGGAAAAGATGGTGGAGTCCAGAAAATATTGAGAGAAACTTATAAAAAGGGTTTATATTTTCACTGCGCCTGCCACAGATTAAACCTCGTGGTAAACGATTTAAATAATGTTTCTGAGATCCGCAACTACATTGGAACCGTAAAAGATACAATAAATTTTTTCAGGGAATCGGTTCTGCGTCAAAGATATGCACCAAAAATACCATTGCTGTGTGAAACAAGATGGTCCCATAAATACCAAAGTATTTCGATGTTTAAGAAATATTTTGCCCAAATTGCAGAAGGTTTAGAAAAACTTTCACGGGAAGGTAATTCTGCCACAAGGAAAGTAGCTTTTCAGTTACTATCTGCTGTCAGCCAAACTACATTTATATTTGCTTTATGTATTATAGACAAATATAATTCTATGCTGCAACCCGTCGCGAACATATTGCAATCTAAAACGCTAGACATATTAAGATGTGCAGAACATATAGAAACAATAACTACTGCAGTTGCAGAACACCGGCGTTCCGCGGAAGAAGAGAGCGAAGATTTAATCAAATCAGCTGAAAAAATTGCTACGGCTTTAAACATTGACCTACGTTTACCAAGAACAGCAAGCCGCCAACAACATAGGGCAAATCAACCAGCTGCTTCACTTAGCGAGTATTTTCGTCGCTCATTATACGTGCCTTATTTGGATTCTTTGTCATCTTCATTAGAGGCGAGATTTAGCAGACAGCATTCACCAGCGTTTACACTTTCATTGTTACACCCTACTCAGATAATTAAAATTACAGTTCCTAAATTACAAAAATGCATGGAGGAAGTATCTGATTTTTATGAATAAGAAGGGATCACGTCTGAAGCCGAACTTTGGCGCACGTTTTGGATAAATAAGCAGCAGCAGGATTTTGAAAATATTGAAATAGCAGAGTTAATACAAGAAGCAGATTCTTTCTACCCGAAGGTCAAGATAGCTTTAGAAATTTTGCTGGCAATGCCGTATTCCACTGCTACGATTGAAAGGTCGTTCAGTACACTTAGACGTGTAAAAACGTGGCTAAGATCGACTATGACAGAAGATAGATTGAATGGGCTTTGTATGCTCAGTGTGCACAGAGAATTTGTTAAAAGTATGAGTGATTCTTTCACGGAAGGCATCCTAAATCGTTTTGCTGAAGACCCTCGAAAATTACTTTTAAAATAGCCATTGTATAAGTACCTAGTTAAAGAATTTATATAAAAAATATTATCTATTTTAATTTAAGTTTTTTTATTTTTAAAAACCACCTCACCTAGCTTATAAAAATAAGATTTGCCCCCCCCTGGCCCAGAACCTGGGTACGCCCATGTATATATGTATTACATACATATATATTGTTCCGTCAACCGTTAATCATTTCTTATATAATATTGTATTGAATCATATTTTGTTTTAGTTATATCGTATACTGACTGTAGACTAGTTTCCAGCGACTGTCTCCTCTCGGCCGCTCGAGGGCGGAGCGCCCGGGCGGTCTGCAGCAGCGCAGCGGAGTCTCTCTCGATGGCCGCGCCGTCGAAGTGACCACTGGAGACCAGGTCGGAGCCCTGGGCTGCAAGGGACTCCGCTCGTTGTTCGCATTGACTCAACTCTTGTTCCAGAGCCTGTAGACATTTATGTTACTATTGAATATTATATAAATATAGATATATTATGTTCTAGTGAATACAACGACGAAATCGCATTTTTCTGTAAACAATAATTGTTTTTATCAATACACATTTCTAAACAATATAATTCTACTTGTTTTACTTTAAAACAAATTGTTTTCTCATCTGAGGAGCCCTTAGTTTAAATCTAGTTATTAAAGCACCAGCAATTAGCTCTTTACACTTTGATTTTATAAAAATAATCTTAGCAAAAAAAGAAATCTTTAAAACCACATCTCCACTCTCACACTGACAGTTACCTCAAATTATATCAGTTAGCTGGCATAACTACGACAGATAATAATTTGAAAAGCAATACTATATACATGTACTTATATAGTATATCTAGTAGGTAAGTATGTATGGATATATGTTGGTCTTACAAGTAAATTATCCTAACTGATTTTGATAACACTCTTCTATAAAGCAATTTAGACCTCACAATGACATCCATTATATTAGATACACATTAATCACCATCTGAGTAATTCCTAATACACGCATGAAGTCGCAGTAAACCGCTAGTATGTGATGTACCCACCTGGTGTAGTAGCAGCAGTCTCTTGCAGGATCTCAAGTCTGAAGCCAGCTCGGTGCTGTTTAGAGCTCGCTACACCTCCGACAACCTCGCTTTGGCGTCTTGCACCGACCTGGGAAATCATAATTATATGAATATTTTGAATGCATATTCATAATATAGGAGATTATATGAGATGTTTCCATCATCATCATCCTATCAGAGCCCACTGCTGAGCCTCTTCTCACATGGAGAAGGTTTGAGCATTAGTCACCACGCTCGCTCAAGAAGGGTTGGTGATGTCAAACTTATTATATGATATTATTGAATGTATAACCACGCTAAGGGTGATAGATGTATCACATACATTTAACAAGATTAGAACTTACAATCTGTACATAACGCGGTCCAGATTTTATGTTTTACTGAGAGATCATAAAGTATTTAGTGCAAGTTCGCACTTGGGTTGCTACGAAATTAAATTCAAAAATTTATTATCAATATGTGCCTAAATATACTTTATATCATACACATCCGTCTGCCCGTCATGACTGTTTCTTATACCTATATACAATGAATACAAAAACTTTTAATAGTTATTATTTCACTTGCAATGTATGTATGTTATTTTATTTTATTTTAGAGAAACAAACAATAAGATAAACTTATGGGACATAATTATACAAAATTACATATATCAGTTAAGTTTCCACTGGTAATTAGACACATATAATTAAAAAAAGACTAGTAAACATTAAAAACGTATACTGACGAATTTCTTCGGCAGTTATGAATAAAATCTAACATAAATATAATTAAACGAAACAAATTTAAAAAAAAAGAAGTAACAAAACACATAAAATTGAAGGCATTAATGACTACATCGGTTAGTAAAATTACAGGCAAAACATTTATACACGTCAAAACAAGCTATGAATTGATACATAAATTAATCTCATTAACTTTATTTTTAAAAGAATACATTTTTCAAATAATATATCAATATCTTAATAAACTTTATTATAATTTTGGCAGCTACGATATAAGAAGATATTATTAGTACTTTTCGTTTCACAAATCGGCACATTAAGTAATGGTTTATATCTAGAATTTATTCGTGAACAATTAAATTCAATATTAGACGATAGGAAAGGTGAATCTACGAAACTGTTAATTATTTTAATTAATGAAAGATACACTTTGTTTAAAGTTTGCAATTTCGTCCTTTAATAATGGTTTGAGTTGCGCAGACATTATATCGGTTATAGTATTTTCCAATTTAAGCCACAATTTGTCGAACTCTTTGGATACAATATTTTGAACTTCCTCACTAGAGACTGGTATTACATTTGTATCCACTTTGGATGAAGCAATGTGGACTCGTACACCTCTACGATTTTTAATATTATCATCCATGGTTTTTTTACAAATTAATTACGTGTAATCTCAAAACGAGGAAAAAAAAATAAAAATAAAATAAAAACAATCTTTCTCACATGCGATGCCCGGGATCGAACTCTCGCTTCACGCGTACTATGCTTAGTAAACACCTTTCGGCCAATTTGTTTCTGGAGTAAGGTGTGAAAAAGATGATTTAGTTAAAACCGCTGAGTTTTAACTTTTATCATTTGGTTCTTGACCAATCAGAAGTAAGAACGCGATCCTCTTGAGCGTTTGAATAAAAATACTGGTTTTTACCTTACAAATTTTAAAAAACACTTAATCACCTTCTCGAAGTTAATGCACTGAATGTTTTAAGCACTATTGACAGCAATAAAACTACAAAAACACTTATTATTCTAAAGTTTAAACAGAAAATACTATTCCGATATACACTATTAGGTTAATATTATGAAGACGTCAAACACCAAAAATCACCAAGTTAACCGCCTACAAACGGTAATAGCGAATATTTGTACAATAATTTGACCGATAATTACTTGATAGTGGCAAGAAAACAAATATTTACAATTTTATTGATTTTTATGCAAGGGCGTCGCCAGCCGATGGCGCAGGGGGGGGGGGGGCAAGTTGACTTTAGAGACTACAATTCATACTTTTCTCATTCTCTATGAATGAGAAAAGTAGGTATGAATTGTAGGTAAAGTAGGTATGAATTGTAGGTATTCTGTGACAGTACAGAGCAGTGGCGGCTGTACCTTAAGTGCACTCGTGCGCTGAACCACCAATTCAAAAGATTTAAAAATTACAAAATATTACTCCATCTTTATTTTTAAATTACCATTTTAATATTTATTTTCTAAACATACAAAAACGGATAAAAAATTAAATTTCTAATTATAGTCAAAAAGTTTGAGCACTTTACTAAACTTATATCTCGTGCGCTTCGGCGAGTGCACGAGGACGGCTAATACATCTTGTATGACATACGCCTGACGCGTGAAACAAAAGATAGTTCATAGAAATGTACCGAGTAACGAGTCGGTTCTCGAGCGCCGCACGAGCGGCCGAAGATTACCGAGAGCACCCGATGTGTGACGAATTGGAATTGACAAGAATCAAAACTTTTCTCCGAAATACTATGCACTTGCTAAATGCACTTTCTGTGCTTAGTATTGAATAAAAAAATATATACAAACAATACCTGATTTTAATAAATAGGTGATTGAACATTTCGCTTCGGAAAAATGTCGTTGCATTAATTAATGTATAAAAAATAAACATATTTTATGTCAATTGGTTTTTTGTTGCATTTTCTAATTTTAATATTTTAGTAAAGTGCACCACCAGTTAGATAACCCACCAGCCGCCACTGGTACAGAGTCTAATGTGTAAAGCTACACGAGCACGAGCTCTGGACTATGCAATAAAAAACTTGTAAATAAGTTATAATAACATTTATTATTTTTATTTTTTTAGAATCTCTAGGGGCAGCTGCCCCTCTCTGCCCCCCTTTGGCGACGCCCTTGTTTTTATGTACGGAGCCAATGTTTACGCTACCGGTAGCGACACCTAATTGATATTCTAACCTAATTTATATTCTTGAAACCTAATTTATATTCACTTAAAAATTACATATTAAGTACATATGTATGAAAATTTATATTTTCATTTTATTGTTTTGAAATGCTAATCACTACTGGGTCTGTATATGTAATGAACATAGCTATTATCTGGTATTTAGAGATCACCAGCTGGAAAGATTTATTAACCACAGAGGTCATTTCAATGGAATATATAATTTAAATATAATATCAAACTAGTTGTAATAGTTGTATAGCATCTGCGGGCAATTATCATATATGGTCATACAATTAAGACCTCTTAATTAAAAGTTTACGATAATATAAAGTCGATGAACCGAAATGAATAATGTACTTTACTAAGAATATTCCTTAACAATCGAATGTTTCTAAACTTCTGGTAAAATTGAATGGTGAAGTCGAATATTGTTTGAAAATTGAACGTTTGTAAAAGTTACGTATTATTGCTTCTATAACTAACTAATAATATTAACAACTAACAATTTTTTTTTACAATTTCAAATATCTTATTCGGATTTTACAAATATGAAGCTGGTAACCGAAATTTTTACTAAAAAAAGTTCATAAAAAAATCCTTGAAGGCCAGTTAAATTTTTTAAATCGAGTTTTGACAAGCAGATAGATGGACAACAA